ATATATACATATACACACACACACACATATATATATACACACACACACACATATATATATGTATATATATATATAATATTTGCTGGTTTTTAAAACCTTCAAGCATAATTCAGAACTTGAATTCAGATAGTATTCGTCTGTTTCAACAAGTATGCATGCAGTTAGATCATAACTCACCTTCATACCTTATTGACATGTAATTGTGAAAAATCCATTGTGAATAATCCATTCATTGTTGGGCAGTGTACTTCTGTAGTGATACCACCTCAGAAACCCAAGGAGGGGTCACTGTGAGTCAGGACTGATTCGATGGCAGTGAATTTTGTTTTTGGTTTAGATATGTTTTGTAGCATTCTTGGTTACTCATATTCACATTTTTGACTCTTGTCCTAGGTAAGTGGAGGTATACTTCGAATTTTTCCAGAAGGCAAAGCCCAGTTTGCTGACATTGAACCCAAATTTGATAGACTGCTGTTTTTCTGGTCTGACCGTCGTAACCCTCATGAAGTGCAACCAGCATATTCTACAAGGTAGTATTTCTTTTAAGAAAAAATTGGTAAAGAATAGGAGGGGACAGTAGAATAAATCCAAAGATTTTCAGATTTTCTCCTTCAGATACTTTTATCATCACATTTCACAGTTGTTAGATTAATTATTAATTTAATTAAAACTATTGTTTTAATTAATTTTATAAAATGTATTTACATTGAGTATTAAATGTTTATGGGTCTTTCTTTGTATATAGCCAGCCTCTCCTTGTTGGGGTAATACATGGAAGCATAGCCCTCCTATTTTTCTAGATCTGTCTCTTTGCTTTGTGCTATTATTTATTCTTCAATTTTATGAGAGTCTTTCACTTGGAAAATAGATTGCATAGAGGAGGAAAGGGGCAGCTTTTAAAAAGGTGGTAAGGGAGGAATAAGAGAGAGGTGATGTGGAAAAATAAGAGAAAACCAGAGAATAGAAGTGAAGAATAAAGGAAAAGTTGCCATTTATGGGAGTTAATGTTACAAAAATAATCCTTAATAGTAAGTACCTGTTTCATTATACTCTTTTCTTCCACAAGGCTTAATGTTGTTAACCTATTATTTGTTTAATGTATTCTTTTAAATTTTTCTTTTACCATTTACAATGACTTAGAATATTAAGACTATTAAAGCAGTAGATGTTTCAGACATTGTTATGAAAATAAATATTTATACAAAAACATGACCAGACTCTGACTCTACTCTACATTTGACTCTTTGTTTACTTCACAGTATGTTACGTGATTTAGTTCTGTAGCGTTTACTTGTTGTTTTTCCCCATGACTATTGACCAGAATCTATAAGATATTTTCATTAATTATTATGTTTTTCTAAGGAATTAGTGATTTGTAGCATATTTTTCATTTCTGTAGTGTGTGTACATTTTCCCCATTATCAGGACCAAAAGCTACGATTATATACATCTTAGTAAACCAGAAAGGCTTCATTTATTTATAGAATGAGATATTCCAAATAATGGTTATTTTCTGAAAAATGAACTATAGCTAAACTTGCAATATCAAAGCACAATATAATTGTTTTGGTAAAAATCCTAAAAAAAAAGTCTTAGCATAATTTAGCTTTCTTGATGACTCAAGGTTGTTATTGTAAACATCCACCATTACTTTTTGCTATAATACATCTGTGTCCTCAGAGGCTCTCAAGACTCTCTTCCTTCAGTAATGAGCCCCAGGCTGCTGTGTCTTATCAGTCCTTTTATCTGTTTCTCTTGTCTTAGTATACTTATGCTATTGATAATACACTTTTTCTGTGTTGTTATTGTTGTTATGTGCCCTGGAGTCAGACCCAACTCATAGGGACCCCTCCTTGGTAGGCAGTATCACTAGGAAGTAGATTGCCCAACCTTCCTTTATACTTTGTTATTGTCTGTTTCTGATTTGCCATGGGCTTGCAAAAAAGATTGTTAAATTAGGAATTAAGAAAGTCATAAAAACTCATCAATTTTGTGACATCAATTTTAGCCATTCTTGGTTCTCTGCTGTATTCTTTAGCTTTGAAGTTACTGAATAAGTAATGTACTAATATATCTTTTTATATATTCTAATTTAGGCAATACAGTTTTTAATATAACATTGTAACGCATACCACTTTTTTTTCTCTGGTGTGTTCATTCTTACTCTATTCTAACTTTTCTTTTAGGTACGCAATCACTGTTTGGTATTTTGATGCAGATGAGAGAGCACGAGCTAAAGTAAAGTATCTATCAGGTAATCATTATTTGGGTCAAGGTATACTGGGGGAAAAAATACTCTCCTAATGTGATGCTTTTGGTAAACTCAAGCATAATCTTTATTAATGCCATGAAGACTTACTCCTTGTTTTTGTCAGAGTTCTTAATTCCTCTGTTTAAAAATCGAGTAATTTTAGATCATTTTCTTCTTTTCCTTTCTTTCTTAAATTTTAATTTCAAACTTTTTCATTTAATCAACCAAACTGTCCAAAAATCGGCGAAGTTTGAGCATAGAAGTCTAAATAAATTATTCAAGTACAAGCTGAGTTTTTCTGTGATTATCCTAATTCACGAGGTTGCTTAACTCTTGGTAATATCCTTTACTTTTTAAACTTAGATGCTTTAAATGGAGTATCTCAAGTCTTCCATGTTGTCTGTGGATGTGAAAGAAACTAATACAAAGTAGATTAATTGAAATGGCAAAATCAGTCAGGCATATAGATCTGATTCCAGAACTATCTGATCCTTTACTGTGCCAGCCCTTCCCCCTCAGCTATAAACTGTACCTCCTAGACCAGTCAGACTTGGATTTCCATCTGATGGACCACTTACCTGTGTTTTCTTTAACCCTACCTTATGTCTCTTAAAGTCTGCTCAGTTTTCCCATCAAGAGTTAACAGATGTATTTCCATGAACCATTGATAATCTCATGTCAACCTTTTATAAAAATATGAAAATTGGATATTTGAATTTTTAAAACTATTATTTGTGGCAGATCTAATGGTCAGTTTTCAGTGATGCTAAACACTTTACTGTTTAATGATAATCCAAATTTCTTTTAAAATTAAAAAGGTGGCAGTCATTCTTGGTGTAGAGAATGGTTTTTACCACTAAATGTTTACTAGTTCAGAGTAATACATTCATCATGATAGAATTTGGAAGTGCAAGTGTAATTGTTTTCAGATGATGTTTGCAAAGTTGAAATACTGCCCATAATGTTAGGAATTAAATGAGAAAAACTGTAGCAGATACTCTCTGGTGCTTAATGAATTTTTTTTCCCCCTTACAGGTGAAAAAGGTGTGAGGGTCGAACTCAATAAACCTTCTGATTCAATCAGTAAATACGTTTTATAGAGCATTAGATCCAGCAATACCCCACTTCACTTACAGTAATTGTTGACACTGTTTGTTAACTTGTGAATACAAATAAATGGAATAAAGAAAAATAGACAACCGACTGGCATTTTAATAAGGAGAAAGAAAACTTTTTTGTGTTACATCAAACAGAAGATTTTGACTGCTGTGACTGACTCCAAATCTCTGGTTGCTTATGGGAAGAGTATAAGCTATCAATTGAAAATGATATTAACATCTGGACATGAAATAAGTGCCCTGCGTAGAATTTTTTTCATCCTTATATTTGCCAGATCTGACATCTAGCTGAATCCATTTCATCTCTCCCTTTTTTATATAGTCGAGTTTGAATTTTGGGTAATTTTTGTATGATCAGGTACAATTTATCAAAAATGAAGAAAATTGCAGAGTTATTCCCCAAAATAGCATTGATCTATTTTTGTAAATGTCTTCATATTATTAAATTTAGCCCTAATAGATTTCTTAATAATGATTGTTGCCAGTGACTGATGATTTTAATTTTCTCTATACTTAAGAAAAGGAGCACTTTAATTACCAACTGAAAAATCAGATTCTACTCTTTACACTAATTTGGGCTCTGAAAGATTGCTGCTTTTTGTGACATTGTTAATAATGAAAAGTAACAGTGAAACAGTAACCATTTACTACCAATAACTTTTAGTTCATATTAAATATTTTTAAAAAGTTAAAGTGACTGGCACTAAATGAACTTGAGGTTAGCCTTAGAATCAAGTTCCTAAGATAAAGGGCTTTCTTACGCTTTCAGGTATATCCTATAGATTTAGGAGCTAATAACCTCTTTCCTAAGACTGTTTCCTTTTGCTTCCCTTCAAGTTGGTGTTACTTCCAAATTTGCTATTATATTTTCTAATACTGTGGCCCATCTGATCTGCAGATCAGAACCTTGTTTCTGTTGAGTAGTATCAAAGGGAGATTATATGTAAATTGAGACTTAAATGTGTTTTACAGACTTAATGTTTAGTGATTCCTCAGACTACTGTTGAGGCATTCCCCAGGTATGATGCTGGCCTTAAATCAGTACTGAAAGATGTATGTTTAATTATAAAAAACAAAAACAACAAATATAAAAAAGAAATACAAGATAAGTTTATTTTTATGTTTTAAGGGTTTTCTTTTTTACTTTTCATAAAGAGAGGGAATATTACAAAATCATACGGGCCTCCTAGATTTCTGTTATGAAATTGGAATGGATGTCTTAGACTTCAATTTCCTAAGCTCTGTAGCAAAGCCTGAAGGGTGGTATCCCATATTTTACACAAATTATGGGTATAGAACCTTGCCCACTTAAGTTTTCTCTCTCTTTGATCTTTTTTTCCAAATAATGTGAGTGTACAGAAATGTTTCTGTATATTTCAATTTATGACAATTTTAGCATCTGTATAGTTTGTAATCAGAGACCTTTTCTGTGGAAAGCTCAGTAATTTTTATTAAAAGATTGCTATTGTTCATGTAAAACATGAAAAAATTGTTTAGTGAAACTGACAGTGTGGACTAAGGACAGGATAAAATCTTCAGTATTGTGATCTCACTTCATTGTGAACTTGCAGGAAAAAATTATAGTCAACTGTTTGTTTTCCCTTGTCTACAATTCAGTCTGTTCCACTCCCTCCTCTTCCTTCCAGACAACACTTAACATCTCTACAGTAAGTGCCTCTGCCAGCCTGGTCCCAGAGTGCAAGTTGTCTTTGCATCTGGTCTGCAGTGCAGTGCATGGCCTTAGGCCACAACTCAAAGTGCTACCATTGTTAGGTTTAGGAGAAATTGTATTATGTTGATAGCAGTTTGTTTGATCTTCAAGATTCACAGCAACAGCCTTTTAATTTGGGAGCCTGTGTTATTCAAATGTGTACTTCTGCAATAGTGCACATATCAGATTCTGCTATCTATGGGTTGTGCTTGCCAGACAGGTCTTAAATTGTGTGGGTTGTTTTTTGGTTTTTTTAAGTTTATATAATTTCCTGTGAAAGGGTCAAAAATAAGGGTGGCTGTTTCTTTAATATCCTTTTGAAATCTATTCATTTCATGTTAGTATCACCATTACCTTGTCCCCAAGGACTCTATTTAAAAACAAAATTTTAAACTTTTTTGTGGCATATGTGTTAAATTCTGGGTAAAGATAAAGCTTTATAATGCTGTTTTTATTCAACACATTAATCAGCTGTAAAACACATACCTATCAGTAGCAGGCAAAGAATTTCAGGATTCATATACAGATAGTTTATAAAGTTATGTAATTTGAAAAACAGTGTTCCATTATAAAAGAGCTCTCAAGTTGCTTGTAAAGCTAATCTAATTAAAAAGACATATAAATGTTCTTGAAAACATTATGGTTGTTATTTCCAGTTGTTTTTTGTTTTGCTTTTTAATCCTTATCATATCACTGTTTTTTTTTAACAGGCCCTTCTATCAGATAATGTGCTTTTCTATCACATAATCTCTGGCTTAGTCTAGAACATTTGGTGTTAGTTTTTATAAATGACAACAAGGGAAAGAGAACAGTAAATATAGGTGTTCAGCAGTTTTAGAAACATCCTGGAGGTAACTGGACTGTCCATGGGACCTGTAAGCTCTAGGTTTAGATTCTCAACATTCGGGTTGTTGGCCTTTAATAGGATTTTAACAATTACCTTAGCATTCATAGCTGTTGAGCATATTTGTACCACCCCTCTGCTGTGAAAAGCAGGGGCATTAGGCATTTATCTCTAAATTGTCATAGATGCCCTATTGTGTGTATGCAAGAAAGTTTTAATTTGTGTGGGCACAGACTCAAATATAAGAGCTCTCATTATAATATGAGATCAGTATAAATGTTCAAGTATCTCACTTATTTTAAAACATTTTTTAGTGTGGTGGTTTTCTTATTTTCAGGCCTATCTTAGGGCATTTGAACAACTCTACTCAGCTATAGCTGAGAGGAGCCCTGGTGGTACGATGGTTACATGCTCGGCTGCTAACTGAAAGGATGGCAGTTCCAACCCACCTGTTGAGTGGCTCTGCGAGAGAAAAACCTGTTGATCTGCTCCCTTAAAGATCACAGCCCAGAAAACCTTATGGGGCAGTTCTGTTCTGTCACACAGGGTCTCTGTGAGTCTGAATTGACAACAACGTAACTGGGAGGATTAAAGGAAAAGGCAAACGAGTTAAGAAATTAGCACAGGCAGAATCCACAAGTCTCTGTTTAGTTCTCGCTCACTCCTTAATTGTGTGACCTGAACCTTTTTCATCTAAAAATGAGTACAAGAGCTTCAAACTTCGTTATGTGAGACCTAACTGAAATACAACAGTACATAAAGCATATTGAAAAATAGGCCTTCAGCAAACATACTCTAGCCTTTAACAATATGATAGCATAATTGCAGAGAGAAAACTGGGTCAACAAGCTCTGAATAACTAGTAATTTTAGTTAAAATTAAGTTTAAAGTATAAAATTTAGTTAAAGTGTAAATGTTAAGCATTTGGAAACTAATGTTTTAATTGCTTTTCTTATCAATGGTAGGTCTTTAGTTTATAACTTAGATTTAAATTAAGTCACTGGTGCAAGGTGCTTTGTCAGATCATCTCCCAGGGTGCACATGGTCCAAGTATGGACTGCAATGATACATATATTACATATCTAATATTATAATAAGATCTGGTGGCACAGTGGTTAAGGCAATTGCCTGCTAAACAAAAGGTCAGTGGTTTGAACCCACAAGCCAGATGAGGCAATCTGCTTCTGTAAAGACTTACAGCCTTGAAAACCACATGGGGCCATTCTACTCAGTTTTATAGGGTTGCTGTGAATTAGAATCAACTCAATGACATTGGGCAGGTAATATAATTGTATATTGGATTTTTTTCCAATTAGTTTTTAAGCATTAAGAAGATTCATTGCTTCAAGGATAAATTTTTGGGATTTTAAGGCAAGAGATATATCCCCCAAACAGGTATTTTTGGTTAAAGATTATTTTTATGATTTTCAGCCAAATTATATCTGAAATACAGGAATGCTCAACTGTATACCATTGGAAAAATGAAATACATAAAAGGCATGGCCTCATGAGCTAGAAATAGTGCCCTAAGTAGAAAACACTGAACCACTTCACAAAATAGGGAGACCCTAAACAGCTGTAGGTAACTAAAGCTCTATTGAAAGGATAATTTCTGAACAGAGTGTCATAAGGGTCAAAGAATTATTAGATCTTTCCCTCATTACGATTAAAACTTTTGTCCAAATTACTATATTCCTATGGTGTTCTACAAAATCACAGTTCTTTTTTTTTTTTCTCTCAGGATAGACATATAAAGCTAAGCAAACTTTATCTCAAATTATAATTAAACCAGGATAAGAAAAGTGACTTGCCCAAAGTCACAGAGCAATGAAGAGTCAGGACTCAAACAAGGGCTTTAATTTTTTATTTGTTTTAATCAAGTTATTCATCCACATACAGCTAATCCAACTTGTTTTATAAGAGTTGTTAATAAAAATAGTAGTCCCCCATGTTCTTCTGAGAAAATAAATTTCAACTTTCAAATGATTCTTTGGGATTTACTTACCCCCATTAGATGTAAATAATAATGTATTGCTACATCTTGACTTTTCTGTAATAGCCATCTGTAACTTCCTCACATAGAAGATGAGAATGTTTCTCTCCAACCCTCCTCCACCATCTGTTCTACACATACACAAGCACACTTCCATGCCCTTGATCTTCCTTGTGTTATAATTATGTTGTAAATTAGATCAGATTAATAGTGTTTCTGTTATGACTGCTCATTCACAACTCAGACATAAACTATGATTACTTTTGTTTTCTTCTACAACTTCCTTTTCCCCTTAAAGTGAATGTCTTCAGTTTTCATTTATTGCTTGTGGCTTCTGACCTGCGCCAGTCTGGACTACATGCCCATTCTGCCTGGCACACAGCTGTCTGCCATGGATCTCTCCTCACCAGTATTATGGAGATCCTCTTTACCACTCTTGTGTTAGAGCTCCTGTTTACTGGATCCCTTTATTAGTCTTCCACTTTCTTAGTTTACTTCCTTATCTTGGTAATGTGTATCCTCCAGCACTTCTCCATGAGTGTGTGGGTGGTAACGTTTAAGAGAACACTGTCTTTATTTTACCCTCACACTTGATTGATAGCTTAGTGGAGTACAAAATTCTACTTTGGAAATCATTGCCCTTTAGTAGTTTGGAGGCAGTGCCTCACTGGTTCTAGATTCCAATGTGGGTGATGATAAATCGGAGCCATTCTCATTCCTAATTCCTCATATGTAATCTCTCTGGAAGCTCATAGAATATTAATGTTACAGTGTACCTTGGTGTGTGCCTATTTTCAGCCATCACACTGGGCATTAAAACTATGAATTTCTGCTCTAGAGTTCTGGGAAATTGTCTTATTTCATTAATTTTTTTCTTATCTCCATTTCTTTATTCCTGGCACTCA